GCCGCTCGCAGGAGGGGGGTTCTGTTGTAAATGAGGGCGATGCCAACCCTCTTGTGCACCACCAGAGGGAACCATCGCCAGAATTCTGATTCGACTCACGGACTCAAAATCCCATAAGCCCTGCTGCCTGGCACTGATTACGGTCCAGGTGCAACTCATCAGCTCTCGTGTATATATACCACACTCACGCTCCGGTTCTTTGCGAAGTCTTGATTTGCCTGGCTGTCATTTCTGAGCGTTCCATACTCCCTGCTTCGGACTGATCTGTGTTTCTGACCCTGTGCTTGTTCTACGATTACAAAAAACATCTGCCTGCCCCTGATCTCCAGCCTGTTATTCTGACCAGTAAGATATCTGCCTGCCTTTGAACTTTTGCCTGTCCCACGTTCTGTCTCCTGGATTGCCCCTTGTGTTTGTTTGTATGTGTGCTCTTAATAAAGCTTGCAAATGGATTCAATGCCTTCTGACTCATCACAACAGAAAGTTTTTGACTCCTCTAAAGCATAAAAATACCCTAATATATTTGCAGATATTTAAGAAACATGCCAAGTGAGCATTCCTGTTTATCTGAAAAACAATGCTAAGGTCAGATATTCTGCTTTAAAAATGTGAGTTACGTGCGGAATGCTGCCTTTGTTTTGGTTCTTTTACCCGCCCAATGCCACTTTAGCCAATTATGTTTCAGCTCTTGGGGTTCCTTGTTTGAAAAACGCATATTTCATTCATTCAGAATGGCTCACAAAGTATGCGTCCGTGACTGAAATTCGACCTCTGGTGGACAGTAGCAGACGACCAAATAAGACACAGATTCAGAGTTCGACATGAGGCTATTAATTAGCAAATAATCGAAATATTACGTGTGTAAACATACAACATGCTACGTCACAAGAATTGCAGTGATAAGCAATTTGGCTGTTTGCACCAGACAAAACACGACAGAAATTTAAATATAACCATTCAGAAGCACAGAATATGCACTCACTCACGAAATAGTAAGGTTTATAATTATATTAATACATATTAAAACATATTAAACCTATTTAACATTACTAAATGTACATACTGAATCACTGATATGTGTCGGTTTGCATTATTTCAGTTCTAAAGTTCAATTTCAAAAGGGTTTATTTCATTTTAAAGATCTGAGGTCAATAAATGTAATGCAAAATGGCATTCAAACATTATTAGCATTTATCAATGAATAAAGCACATGAGGTTTACCTGAGGTGATCATTATAATTTTTCTGTTGTTCAGCTGCAAGAAATAGAAGTCATTTCTAATATATCGATTTGAGGTGTTGGCTAGAAGAAAAACTCCTTTTAATATGGAAAATATTCCTTCTATTGCATGCCGTTGCTTTTATTTAGAGCACGATTTAAATCAGCCTTTAGGTTTAAACGTCAGACCCGCTCCTCAATCTGTCAATCGTTTGTAACTTTAAAAAATAATAACGATTTATTTTATGATTCTACACGTGTGGACAAACAGAAACAAAATGTCATGTCTTGCAGGACCATGGTGCTACATAAATTAATCATAAATACAAACACAACACTGGACATAAGAGCTATATAAAAAACTAAGCATAACTAACATATACCATAAAATACTTAACTATACACAAAAGACAGCCTATACAAGTACTTCTTTTACATGAGACTGAGACTGAACATTGTTGTGCAGGATATTGTGCAAGAGAGGTATTAAAGGTGAATATTGTGTATTTAATGTTTAATTAACAGGATTTAGTGAATTTTTTAATTCATTGAAAGACTATGCAGTATTATTTTACATTTGATTATTCAAAGACTGTATGCCTGAATACATTTGGACTCTTTGGAAAACAATAAAATACTGTTAATTTAATTTGCATATTTTTCTTTATTGAATGTATTTATGCTTGTAGATTGTTTGCTCCATTTCATGCACTCCCCTACAGAATCATTTCAATCTAAAATTATAATTTCTTTTCAAACTGTTTTTCAACTTATCTAGTGAAATGTTGTTTATATCATAAATATCGCAGAATAAAAAGATATCAATGTGTAATTTTTCCAATATTATACAGCCTTAGTATATGGACAATTACTGCACTTTTTTCTACTGAAACACACAATAGTCTACCTAAAAACATTCTGTCATTGCTTTGTGGCCCCAGTAGGATTTGACAAGAGGTAGGTCATAGTCACAGAACCTGCTGCTCATAATGAACTGGTCAAAAAGAAGTGAGCTGTCAGTTTGAATTAGTCTAATGACTCACTCACTAACTGAATCGATCACTGGACCACAACTCGAAATGAACCTAGAACACCTACTATGCTGTGCATACTTAAGACTTCGTACACTTAAAACGTTAGTTCACCCAAAAATGTAAATTATGTTATTAATTAATTACCCTCTTGTCCTTTCAATCCCCTGAGACCTTCATTTGTCCTCATAAAATTAAGATATTTTAGATGAAATCTAAATTAACGCTCGCTCATTGTCCAAAGACAGCAATGTTGGATATCATTTTTTTCCGGAATATGTCCCACACTGTAACCTCTTTTATTTTCATCTGAAATGTGCAAGTTATATAATGCCATTAACATCATGCAAGTCAAGCACCCGTAATGTGTTGAATGAGAGTATTTGTAAAGCTCATTTCCCACACTCAGCTTTAAACAAATTATTTTAGGCTTGATGGTTGATATACATTGTTTATAGTCAATGTCACTTACATTTCTGTAGGTTTTATACTTACTATTAAACGTAAGTGATTTTTTTGTTGAGTGAAGGAAACTAAAATACATGTTACTAATGTTTGTAAAGGTTTCATTTTATCAAAGCTAGCGTAGGCCATTTTTTCCAGAAACATTTTTTGTTATACTGGTTGAAAGTGTTTTCACAACCTAATAGCAATCAATAATTCATCTTCTATGGTTCTGTGGAAGGCGCAGCCATAAAATGTTTGTCCAATCATTTCATTTGGCCTAAATACAGTAATGGAATGTCTTACCTGTTTGTCAGCATTTGTAGTTGCACACCTTCATGTGCTTTACTCTCATAGACATTCACACATCATCAGCACATCCCTTGATGCTGTTCAGACTAAATGAGAATAGAAGGTAAACAGTGAACTCCATTGCAGCTTTCGATGGCCATTGTGGCCATGTGACTGACATATATAAAGCAACCGATGACAGTGTCATTATTTTATCAGCATCATGAAAATGTAATGTTGATCTTTCTGCAATATCAGACCAGCGTGTAACATCAATGCTGTAAATTACACATACAGCACTTTTAAAAACCAGGCGGTCAGTTATGATGACAAGTGCTAATTGTCACAGCTGTAAATATGACCGCTTTCTTTTATTTTTAAATAATGCAATTATAACACGGTGTGTCTTAAGCCTAAAGTACAGTATACTGCTTTTAAAGCATACACTCACATTTGATTGCACAGCCTTTCAAAAATAATTTTACTCACACTTCCACAGGGCTCCAAAAAATAGAATGAGCATGTGAGGCCTGCACATAATGTACAGTGCAATAGTGTACAGTACAGCACAATAAAGTAAAAGGCCTGTAAACTGCACAGTGTACAGTACAATACTGTAAATGTGCATTTACAAAAATCCAGCAGTGCTTGTACAGTACTAATGATGAATTTCACGTTATGCACACTATTCACGGACCTTCATAAACATGTAATAAGTGAAGTATACTTTGGAATTTATGGTCTTTTGGTCAGATGCAACTAACTATGTAGTTATGCTGACTTTCACGTACACATTAAAAGTGATGTATACTTTGAGCTTTATACCCGATTCACATGGCGCTTTAGCATCAACACTTGATGAAAGTCTGAAGTTGGGGCTGACGCGATTGTCATATCAGCACCAGCCAATGAAATTAATCTGCAATCGGCTACTGTCTGAGCTGGGCTATTTGCATAAAGCAATCTGATTGGCTGACGCTTCCGTTGGTGTTTGAAAAGTTGAGAACATCAGAGTGACGCTGATGGATCCACAATTCAGTTCAGCAATGCTTGACGTCACCCATTCAAAGTAAATAGGAAGTACTGCTAACGTGAATCAGGTGTTATTTTGAAGCACTTTGGGTCAGCAATTATGTTTGTAGTTGGGGCTGTTTCCTCTACAAAAAATGTGAGAAATTGTTATGTACTGTTACTGAAAACATTCATTTGAAAATTGAGCCAGAATCATGATATGTCATACAATCTTTCATCTTATGTGTAGTATCAGTAATGTTCAGTCTCATTCAGGCATTTTATTGATTCAGGTTTCATTTAAGTTTCAGATGTTTACTGCATAGTCTTACGCAATAAACATAAAACTGTGTTGCTCCCTTTTCTTACTTACATTTTTAGTTCTTACCAAAGGCACCCCTATAATAACCTGCGACAGTACAATAGTGGCAGACTAAACCATTAACAACAAACAGGGGGGCAGATCAACAATTGTCACATAAACTAAACTTATCAACATACGTTTATAGTACTGTACGTGTATTTGAGCTCTCGATGAATAAATTATCCTGCAGGCACAGGATGTCAACATGACTGCATATTGACGTTGTAAACCAACGTACCCCAACGTCAAGGGGACGTAGGATTTTCTTGTTGTCAGAACCCAACATCAGGCCGACGTCAATGTCCAATGTCCAACCTAAAAATGTACCTAAAATCAACCAAATATCAACGTCTCATCATGTTGCACCTTGATGTTGCGTGGACATTACCACTATGACATCTATCAGACTTTGGATTTTAGTCACTTTCCAACACAACCTAAAATAACAACATCATTTGACGTCATTATTGAACACCAAAATAACGTTGTCATTGATCAGCTGATGTTGTGACCTAAATCTAATCTATTATTAATGTCTTATATTGTTGTGTGCCTGCTGGGTATAATCTGTCAAATTATGACTCTTAAATCATGCTTGCAATAAATCAAACTCTCCTCTGTCTTTTTCTTTTGTGTTTTAGAGATCTCTGTGAGTCTGCTCTCCGTCATCGTAACTTTCTGTGGCATCGTGCTGCTCTCTGTCTCTCTCTTCGTCTCCTGGAAGCTATGCTGGTTGCCTTGGAGAGATAAGGAAGGCGGGGGTCTGAGCTTGACGTCGGGTCTCCTGCCCGGTGGTGCGGGTTTGGGTGGGGTCGGAGGCGGAGGGGGTGCCTCGCTCCTTCCTCCCCTTTTACAGAGGAAAGATACTCACTCTTCTTCCTCGTTGTATCCCACGCTGTCCCAGCAGGGTCAGCATCACCCCCATTTCTCCGACGTGATGGGGGTCGAGGGTGGAGGGGGGCTGGTGGTAGGGGGTGTGGTTGGGGGTCCGCAGGAGATGCAGGAGCACTCCTACCTGGACATGGACTCTTATCCCAACAATGCTGGTAAGCAGATCTCTGCTTTGCATCAAACTCAGAAGCAATACTTTTACTTTTTGCGAGACCTAAGAGACAGTGATCATTGTTAATTATGCTCCATTCTCTTAACTACACTCCTTTCATCTTTTCTATGGCTCTTGCTTTCAGCAACTCTTAAGTTAAGCCAGACATCGCCCGAGTTGCCCCCGGCAACAGAAGGAGGCTCAGCTGCGAAAGACCTGCCCAATGCCCACTCCCAGCAGCAGGTCACCACCAGGTCAGTGACCTTCTCTTCTTGTTCCTGTCTGTGCTTGTGTGTGTATGTGTGTGTGTGTTGCTGGATGATGGAGTGAGTTTGTGGCTTGGGACTAGCTGTATGTGCAGGATGAAGTTAAATTGTGTTATAAATATAGGATGTAAAAGGTTCTATAGCATATCGTATCGCATACTGTAGGTCTCAAAGTCAATTCCTGGAGGGCCGCAGTTCTGCACAGTTTTGTTCCAACCCTATTCTAAATTTTGCTGATCCAACTAATTAAGGAGTTCCAGTGTAGTCTTGAACACCTTGATTAGTTGGGTTAGGTGTGGCTAATTAGGACTGGAGTAAAACTATGCAGAGTTGCTGTCTGAGACCTTTAGCTGCGTGTACTTATGCACTCACACACTCAACAGCGTAGTATATGTATGTAGTGTCATTCTAAATGAAACACTAAAGTTTTTTTTTTACTAAGCTTAAATTCAAACCATTTCCCTGATGATTTTGATGATTGCCAAATTAGTGAAATAAATGACCAAAGTACCAAAGAATACCTGCCATATTATGCAGTATAACCGCATTCACCATCATGAGGTGGTATAATCACCCTCGTTAGAGAATTTTGCTTTCACAATCCAAAATAAATAATAAAATCCAACATAAGTGCCCAAAAGCTCTGCCCCTTCCGCTATGTGAGCAAAGCTGCGATCGTGTGAAGTGTTATTCCACACTTTATTTTAACGGTTGAATAAGTACATTATACGGGTAATTAAAGTGCACTTATTATTTTTAGAGTTTTCAGTGTGAATGCACTATTTACACATGGCGTAAAATAGTGCATAAGTATGTGATTTGGGACGCACCTTATGTTATATTGTATATTTTAGGATTTAAGTGTATTATAAATTTTTTTTAAAGTTTAATGTATTCCAGTGTTGAAAAGGCAAGGTAAGTTTATTATATAGCATATTTCATACACAATGGTAATTCAAAGTGCTTTTTATAAACAAAAATAAAAGAAACAAGTAAATAAAGATGATTAAAAATAAAACCTTTATATATATAAACATAATAAAAACATTAAAATGTTTTAAAAACAGAATAAAAGAGGTTATAAAAGAATGAAAAAGAAAAAAAAGACATAGTAGTGCAATCTGTGGGATGTAGCACAGTGCTATTCAGTAAAGCAGTGTTAAATAGATGTGTGTACAGTCTTGATTAAAATTTGCCTAATGTTGGAGCACATCTGATCATTTCTGGAAGCTGATTTCAGCAATGGGTGTAGTAGCTGAAGGCCGAGTCACCCTGCTTTGACTGAATTTCCAGTTTACTTGATCTGATCTAATGATTTGAGTGATCTGTTAGGTTTGTATTCAGTGAGCATATCTGTAATGTATTGAGGTCCTAGACCATTCAGTGATTTATAGACAAGTAATAATACTTTAAAAACTATTCTGAATGTAACCAGGAGCCAGTGTAAAGACCCGAGGACAGGTGTGATGTGCTCTGATTTTCTGGTTCTGGTCAGAATTCTGGCAGCAGCGTTCTGGATGAGCTGCAACTGTCTGACTGTCTTTTTGGGAAGGACAGTGAGGAGTCCATTACAGTAATCCATCCTGCTGGTGATAAAAGCATGAACAAGTTTCTTTAAGCCCTTACTGGAAACAAAGCATCTAATTCTGGCAATGTTTTTGAGATGATCGTATGCTGATTTGCTTACTGCTTTTTCATGATTGCTAAAATTCAGATCTGACTTTAGAATCACACCAAGATTTTTTGTTGGCTCGTTTTTAAGGCTCATTTTAGCTGTCAGTTTTTCAGTTAGTGTATTCAGTTTCAGATGACTTGATATTCAAGAAACAATTTTTTTTATTAATGTCAATGTTGTAAACAGTTGTGCTGCTTAAGATATTTGTTGAAACAATCATACTATTTTTCAAGTCTCTTTGCATAAGAGAATAGCATTTGCATGTAATAGAAGTTATTTTTAACAAATGTCTTCACTTTTCATATATTTAATGAATCCAGATAAAAAGCAATACTTAACTTAATGCTCTGCCAATAGTGTAAAAAAAAGAAAATCAAGCATGAGAGTCTAAAAACCCTTTTGTATAAGGACTACTTTCTTTCGCCATTATTACATCTGCAGCTGACGTCAAAACAGCAGAAACCGCTGCTACTTCACTAACGTCATTTTAGAGCAAGTGTTTGAATGATTCTGTCAAAAATGATGACAAAACAAGGGATTTTGCTGACATTTTAAGATTATAAAGCTCTTCATTTCTCTGTTGCAATTGGGAGATCACAATGATTACCCAAAAAAAAGCCAAAACAGCGCAAACACTACCAGTTTATTGTTGTATTTGCGATAAGGAAAAATGCTAAACACATGCGAGCATTTATTCTTTCTTTCTTTTTACTAAACTAGCCTACAGTAGCGTAAACAGGAAAGACATTAGAAACAAACAGATGGCCAACCAAAAAGTAACTCTGGGTTAGACAAAGAGTGGCCAACACAAAATACATAGATTTCTGATATGCGAGTCCCATCTCGCACTTAAAACACTACAATTATATGGTATAAATACAGCACTACAACATACAAAAGAGAGAGTTCGGCTTAGAATGTCACTTACCTGTTTAATAATGATTTGATCAGCTGTAGTTAGAAGCTAGATGAGTGTTATTTGCAGAAAATCAAACGACTACCAGACGATCAGATTCAACAACCAGACAGAAGTGTTGTATAGATTTGTTTAAAAATAAAACTGAATTGAATGTTTATTATTTATTTAGCTTTGTGAATATGCTTGCAGAAGATATTTAATTCAACAGCATCATGTCTAGAGAGGCTGTGTAAACGAGTGTAACTTGTGTGACGTGTGTGTAAACATCAAATACTTCACATAGGTACCACATGGGTACCACAATGAAATTTGGGAAAGTCTTGTATTTTTATATTTTGTTACAGTCGAATCACACATTGGCAATACAAAACATTCTTTGAGCAAAATGAGATGTTATTTGTGAGATTCCTTTTACCAGCCATTGTGTTTGTCAGTTTATGTGTGTGTGTGAGTGTGTTCACCTTCTGGTCTCTGTCCAGGCCAAAGCCCATGACTCACCAGCTCTCCAGCCCTGATTTCCATGGTGAGGAGAAGAGCGAGCAGTTGACCAGCATTGGGCAGATCAAGCCAGAACTTTACCGCCTGCGCCAAGGAGACCAGGGGGACGGCAAACAAGGCAACAACTGTGGCAAAATCAGCTTCCTCTTGCGATACGCCTTCAAGTGAGTCCACTCAGATCCATGATCCATTGTCACACAATGAGGATCCGTGCCTCTCAATACATCAGTCGGGTTATAAATAGATTTCATCGGCAGGGCTCACAATTGAAAAGGCGAGCTGGAGAACGCAGCAGGGGAGTTGTAGTCAGCACAATGAGTTATAGTCAGGCCCGCCGTGGGCAGCCCATGCACGTCAGGCCTGGTCCTTTATTTTGCCGTCACACAGAGGGACATTAGAACGGTGGAAAGTGCTGATGTTTGAGAAATGAAGGAAGGAGAGGCTGTTTCACTCATGAATTATATATGACCGGCCACTTTAAACAGCACAGCCTGTCAACACATAATAACACAGCATTGTGTTACGGCCAGAATTACAGAAGAGGCCGACGGAGAGAAACAGATGAAGATGGGTGAGTGGAGATTGAAATCTCATTTCTTGCACGCAGGGAGTAGTTCAAATAAATGATTTGACACCTCTTTCCCTGTTCATTACATTATTTGTATATTATGTTCTGCTGTGAGTTCTAAGGTAAGTGTGCCACCATTGTGTGTGCATAGGTGATGGGAAGCTTATAAAGGAAAAGGATAACTCGCCCCAAAATGCTCTCTTTATTTTTTCTTCTGTAGGACATGCTTAAGAGGTGGTGTGCAGAATATTGCTCTGCTTACAGTATATCTGGGGTCTTTTCATTGTATTGAATGACATTAGTTCCCATTAGATTCACACAGTAATACCAGTAAATTGCAGTAAAATGACCAGAACTGCTTTACCGGTGAATTAAAAAACGTGATGTTGTGCACATGCAATTGCTTTTCTTTTTTTTTTCAGTAAAGATACATTCTGTGACATTATTTATAAGATATGATCTCTAAAGGGCTGTGCTTGTATTTGTAAAAATGAAGGGGGTCTGTTTGTTTGTTGGTGGTTACATTTTTATTTCAGACTTTCACAACCATGCAGGTGCTTTTGTCTTGTAGGAGAACTATAGGAGAAAATGTTGTCTCTGCCATTTAAAGCCAGCTTTAAGAGTCTTTAGTTTGGTTTTGGGGGTCACTTTAATTGTCTTATAATATGCTATTATTTTTACCTAATTATCCCAACGACTCCCATATGATTTGTTCAGCAATTTATCTCTCCTTTGCATGAGGGTAATCTGCTGTGATTGGTCTGATGACCCAGTCTGTTGTGATTGGTCGACTGCGTTCAGCGTAAGACAGAGAGAAATGCCCACAACGGCTATGAAGTGGCAAAGCATGTGAGAGCCCAATGCAGGAGTGCATTAAAGCAATGCAGTTAAACACCAGCATATACTCTACTCTTAAACCTATAACCCCAAGTTATAACAACGACACACATTCAGTATTAATCCACAGTGGGAAAAGTTGAACTATTCAAAAAATTGACTGCGCAGCGCGTGTGTAAGAACAACTGATGGTGGCCATAGCAATAGCCCATAAAGATTTAACCTAAGAAATGCATTACAAGCACTGGTTTATAGTAGATAAATGATTATAAGTCACACGGAGCGATTGAAAGTTACAACAATTTTAATTACACTTGCATGTTATGATCCGGAGGAAGAAGAATCTTGTCCTTATGAACTGTTACAGTTACTGACAAAGTTTCTGTCAATGTCTGCTTCTTCCTTTAATAGTCAGCGGCTAGCAAATCCTACGTGGCAGCATTGGTTATTGCATTAAAAATCAGAAAAATGACAGGAACAAACACAGCACACGGTTGGCTATATTGTGGTATTGTTGTGAAAATTAACTTTAACCCTTTATTCCCCACAGCCGAATGTCCATCTGTCAGGGATTATCATCTTCATTTCATGATCAGTCCCGTGATCCCTGCGCTCCGCTATTGTCTGAAGAGAAAGGTGCGTTCATGTTTTGCCAGATGCGGTACTACATATTGGTGATGTACCATACCGACGTTGACATGTTCAGGCAAAAGATCCGAACCCAACACGATTCATTTATTCGACTCTGAGTTGACCATTTCATTAATGAGACAATGGTTTTAAACACTTTGCACTTTCAGATAACCCTCAGCTGCATTTTTTCATTCACTTAGTGCTGTGTTCTAAACTGCATGGAAGGGCATTTTCAAAAACCCATAATTGGGGCTCTTTAAAAAAAGCTATGCTTACACATATCGGTCTGTATGACATGCATAGTTCCTTACAAAATGGCAATTCTGTGAATACATGGAAAAGTGTTGAGAACAACTCTAATGAAGAGATGTGAATGCACACTTTTGCATGTTAGGAGATGCGTTGGAGTATGTCCTGCAGCTTGTGAGACCCTCTTTGGAACTCACAACATTTTTTCATGAGTATTTTATTTTTTACTTTTTCCACAGTTGACACTAAGAAAGAACATACTGTAGGAGTGCTGTCTAATTAAAAGCATTAGCTAAATGTGTCTGGACAAAAGATTCAAATACTTTTTTTCCTTTAAAAAGTAAAAGAGTCATTGAAATCCGAATGTTCTTATTGGCTCGGCATAGACATCAGTGCATTCTCAAACTGCTTTCTCTGGGCAATAATAGCATGCTATTAATTACGCTAATTAAAAATACACTTGCTGCATATTTAAAAGTCTCTTCGTTCAAATAGACTTTATTTAAAAAGATTGGGTAATGTTAAATAATTACTTGTTAAAATTTCAAGTTCTCCAAGGCTGCAAGAATGCATTGAAGTCAGTCATATTATTCACATGTAAATAGGTGGTATAATGATATTCATATTTATAATGTAAAATTTATATGTACAGAAATCTTTTTTCCAGGTTGTAACTAGTTTCGCCTGGATTTTGGTTTTGTAATCAAGAGCAAAAAACCTTTTATAAACGCTTTTGAAAAAGTGAGTGCATAATTAGCACCCATCACCCCACAACAGTGCTACACATGATTTGGCAGGGAATGAGTGTGCTTTTGGATGTGAGGGAAAGCTGATTTTGTTCAGCCATAGTTTATTTAACCCTTTAACATGTAAGTTTCTAATTCTTCAGCTGGAGGAAGAGAGTCATTGGCATCCGAATGTTCTCATTAGTAGACATCTCACATCAGCGCATTCTCAACTTGACCTTGCTTGTATCGCTAAATTTCCTTCTGTGTTTACAAACAGCAGAATTAAAGCAATTTGCTGGTTATGTTAAACAAAAATTTAACAGAGGCCTGTTCATGCATGATCACTTTACGGCAGCTTAATGATAGTTTTCTGTAAACATCTGTGTGTGCGAAAGAGGCTATTTAAGGTTTTATGGAAAACAGAGATCGATTTAATGTAGGGAGTTGTGGATGATTTGTAAGCAACAATTCATGCAAGAAGTGATTGCTTTATCTTGTAAAGTGCGTTATAGTGAACCATATATTACACTGCATTTGGGCAGCTTCACAGTGTCCCATTTTATCAAATTTGTTGACACTGACCAATAACAGTACAGATCATTTTTGGACACATCTTTTAAAGATGGTAAAACGCACCTGATGATATTTCCTGTCAATGTATGCATTATTTGTTTATGCTTTTGCCTCTGGAAGTCATTCACTAGTTCCACCTTCTTAACAGCATTACACACATCATTAAAGACAGCAAGTGATGGATTTGTTGTGCAGTTTGACACCTTTCTTGTCCATGAGAAGAATTTTAGTTAAAATCCAAATCCAAAATCTGACACAGATATACCGAGGGTGATATACTGCACAAATAGACAATGCTGGGTAAATTACTGTACATCATTGATTAAAAATAAATTTTAAAATTGTAATGTATGTATTACATTTTACTCATTGCAGGTAATTTGTCAATGTATTCCATATTGATTAAAACAACAAGAAAGAATTGAAGAAGAAAGGATGTGAGTGAGTGAGTGAGTGAGTGAGTGAGTGAGTGAGTGAGTGAGTGAGTGAGTGAGTGAGTGAGTGAGCGAGCTAGCTAGCTAGATCTAGATTATGTTATCAGTTACTAGCCATCATTGCTTGCATTTCTATTTCCCCCTGGTTGAGATTTTGGAGTATTGTCTCTTGCTTGTACATTCACATGCTGCAGTGCTACATTGTCATCAAAGTGACCATTTGCATGTGTTTTAGGCTCTGTCAGATTAAATAAGACACACACACACACAAACACACACACACACACACTCACACACAAACACACACACACACACACACACACACACACACACACAAAAGCCGCTAGTCACATAGAATTTTTTTTAAAGCTTAAAATGTCAGATACACACAAATAAAATGTCACATCGCCTGCGCTGACAAGTATTCACATAAACACATTTGTATCTTTGTTCTTTTTCTTTTCTGTCATGTTGCTTTTATTTTTATTCTCATTTTACAATTTACTTAAATTTTGTACTTTTTTTTGTAAAAATAAAAAACATGATATCAAAGCTGGTAGGCATTTTAAAGAGTCCCTATAATGTTTTTTTTTAAATTACCATCCATGCATTATGCATTATGTAACGCAGCTCTAAGTGAATGGAAACATGCAGCTGAGGGTTAAATCTGCACCATGTTTAAAACTATTGATTCTTTTGAGTCGACTTAGAATCAGATGAATGATTCGTCTTTTGTTCGGATCTTTTGCCTCAACGTGTCAACGTCAATACGGGACATTGTCAAATATGAAGTGTCAGATCCAGTAAAACGTGAACGTGCCTGCGAGGGATCATGAGATTATTCATGACGCGAAGATTACTATCACTGAGAGATGGCCAGACATGCAGCTGTGGGGAATAAAAGGTTAAAGTAAATTTTCACAACAATACCACAGTATAGCCAACAGTGTTCTGTGTTTGTTCCTGTCATTTTTCTGATGATTAATACAAAAACCTACCCTGCAACAAAGGATTCGCTAGCCATTTGTTATTAAAGGAAAAAGCAGCAAAGACTACTAATGTATGGGACTTTGTCAGTAACCGTTACACAGTTTATATGGACCAGTTTCTTAGATCTTGTAAGTGTTGCTCCTTTCTACAGA